CCCCCTTTTTTCCCCACTTTAGTTCTCCATTCCTTGGGATCTCCTTGTTCTTCTCTAACCACGATTTTTGGGGGTTGTGGGGGACCCCTGTCCCACCTCGCTCACTCTGTTTAGCATCATTGTCCATGGTCACTCTCCCCCCCACCCCCCCAAAAGGACAACAGTGTCCCTTCCGTGGGGGTGACAGTTGGGGTGGGTGCTGGTTCTACAGGAGGAACTGCCGGGGGAACCCCAACTGCCTGGTGGGCATCGGGGAGCACGTCTGGCTGGGCGAGATAGACGAGAACAGCTTCCACAACATCGACGACCCCAACTGCGAGCGCCGCAAGAAGGTAACCCCGCCTTGACTCCCCAAAAAAGCATCCCCTGCCCTTCCTGGTCCCCGGGGAAAGATGGGGACGAGGGGAGGTGACACTCCCCTTGTAGCCAGGGAGTTTGGGATGCGGCTGTTTGTACGATGCCGGAGCGGCGTTTTTTCCGACAAACAGCCATAAGGTGGCCGCCCCAACTGCTGGATTTCTGCTTGCTCCTCCGCAGAGGCGAGTGACGACTGTTGCTTTCTCTCTTACGCCAGAACGCGTTCGTGGGCTTAACGAACCTCGGCGCCACGTGCTACGTGAACACTTTCTTGCAGATGTGGTTTCTTAACTTGGAGCTCCGACAAGCCCTCTACTTGTGTCCCAGCACCTGCAGCGAGTATGCGGCTGGAGAAAGCGTCCTGAAAGACAAAGGTGGGTGGTTTTGCTCATTTTCTCCTAAAATTTTACACACTGGCGTCGGCTTTGGCATAACGTTTATCGGGAGAATTGATGGGTGAAGCTACAACCACCTGTCCGATCTCCACTCAGCTCTTTTTGAGTCCTTCACCCGGCTTTTAGGAGCAAACCGCCCTTTACCTGAGTTATTTCTTAAATCAGAGTGATCCGATCTGGTTGAAAAATCCGATTTGGGTTTGTTTCTTGCCGGGCCGCTTCCCAAACTGGTTCCCAGCTTAATGACGGTGCTGGGGGTGGAAGCACATGGGTTGGGGCTGATCTGCGCTACCATGGAGCCGCACTCATCCCACGGGAGGGGAAAAATTTAGGTCCCTGGTACGAATGAGGCTGCCATTTGCCCACACAGTAGACGCAGTGGCCTCGGGTGACGTACCTTTATGTATGGTATGGCGCTATAGGGGCTGTGTGGGTCAGGGCAGCTGCCTGATTTCCTCTGTTCCTGTTTTTATGGTATTTTTAAATGATGTCTCGCCATTTAGTGAGAAGCTGTTGCTACCAGGTAATCGGTGCATGCTGCTTAAACTCTTCGCTCGCAGCCCGTGCTAGGCCCTGCGGGATATTTACGGTTGGACTCGATGATCTTAAGGGGCTTTTCCAACTTAAATGGTTCTTTGGTATTTTGCCTGCGGTCAGTGAGCTGAACCTCTTCTCTTGAAAATTAAAACACCTTTAAAAAACCCATGATTTCTAACCATTAAATTTACCTTTACAAAGAACGAGCAAGCCAATTACTTGCAAAGGTTATCTCTTGCCTTGAATTGCTTGCTGTAACTTGTGCAACTTGTTGTTTTCAATAGACTATGAGCCTCAGACCATTTGTGAACACCTCCAGTACTTGTTCGCCTTGCTGCAGAACAGCAAAAGGCGATACATCGATCCCTCTGCGTTCGTCAAAGCGCTGGGCTTGGACACAGGACAGCAGCAGGTAGGTTTGAGGCGCGCCCCTCGAGTAATTACTTTCTCTAAAGCAGCGTGAAACCGCCCTTTTGTGTTATTTTAGCATCTCTGAGCCAGGATCTGCTGCTCAGTACAAACACAAAGGGAGAAGCGGTGCTCAGGGCCTTTCCCATCCATGTGGGAGATCAGGAGGAGCCCAGGGAGCGATGGGATGGGGATGGGAAGCGCTGTTAGCACCTGATCGACACCGGCACCGTGCGGGGTGGGAGCCAAAGTTGCCGTGAGGGTCCTTTTCGGAGGTGCTTTATGGGCTGCTCCTCCCAGGGCAGGGAAATACTTGGCGGTGGGTAGTTCAGTGGGGGTTGAAGGACCCTCGCAGAGCGAGAAGACTTTGGTTGGGTCGCCGAGAGCCAGCCAAGGTCCAACACGAGCGTGTGGGGCAGGGAAAGCGCGGTTAGAGAGGGGTGGGTGCTGCGGAGGGGTCCTGTGGGGCTGTCGCCGAAGCTGAAGAGAGCTCAGGAGAAGGGCACGGCTTGAAAATACGCTTTAAGAAGTGAGAGGGATATTGTTGGCCGAAGAGCCCGAGCGCCAGCGTGCGTTTCCTCGGAAGGATGCGGGAGGGGAAGGAAGCGGTCACTACCGACCGGTGATACTAAAGGACAGCTGGGAGAGGCCAAAGCCCGTTTGTTTTTGGAAGAGGAGAGCGAGGATGGGAGAGGAAGGCCCTGAAATGAGTGTGGGGAAGCTCTCACAAGCCTTGCAGGAGGGGACGAATCCACAGGGCAGCTTCTCATTTTTGGGGTTTTTTTATTTTTCTTCTCACCTATAATGCAAGCAGGGACAGCTTGAATTGCGTGCTGAGCTTTGAAAAATGAGCGTTAATGGGATAGAAAGCTCTGCAGGAGGTCTTTTTTTCTTCCAGAGCCCTGCGAGGAGCGGGGCAGAAGTCAAACCACCCGGCGTGGCTGGCCGGGAGCCAGGTTAACTCATGCCGTGGTCTCACGCTGGGGGCCTCGCGCTCCTTTTAGGCAAATTCCTCTTTTTCTTTAGTTCTCCCGACTGGTCTTTTTTTTTATTCAGTGCACGCCGGAGCCTCCGTGCAGCCTGTGTGTAGGGCTCCGGGTAATTTGCAGTAAATTAGCGACAAGGTTGTGATTGGGCTTTGTGCTGTGGCGTGTTGTTAACGGACTTGGCTTTCTCTTCTAGGATGCCCAGGAGTTTTCTAAGTTGTTCATGTCACTGCTGGAAGATACTTTATCCAAACAAAAAAACCCAAATGTTCGAAACATAGTGCAAAAGCAGTTCTGTGGAGAGTACGCCTATGTCACGGTGTAAGTATTTGGTCTTTGGGAAGAACCTTTCTGTAAATATTTAAACATTTTAGAAGAAGTTGAAGGGGGGAAAGATCCCTCCTAACAGCCGAAGCAGGCAGGTAAGCTTCTGCTGAAACATTTTGTACGAGGTTTTTAGCTTTTAGGTTTCCTGATTCCGTGCGCATGGTGTTGTTGCAGTTCTCCAGCTGCTTTTAATCCCTTAATGAAAATTTACCAGTTAAACCTGCAAGTGAGTTAATGGAACGTAAAGTCCTGCAGCCAGAAAATAGAGTACTTGGTGTCGTATTTTCATTCCTGCGTTCTCTGAGCTGTGGATTTCACCTCAAAAATGATATAAAATGGTGTGTGCAAGCTGTAAGCAGGTGCTCCTGGTATTCCTGGTAGATACTATTATCCTGTAACCACCTTTTTGCAGTGTGTTCATGGTGTAGAGGTGTGAACCACGTTAATTCTGACTTAAACAACTTTTTCTCCTGGTTTTATAGCTCAAGGAGTAGTTTACTAGTGGCTGGGGAGTTCAGACACATGGACCAGTGAACTGTCCTCATGTGGTTTTGTCTTTTTTTTAATCCTAGCTGCAACCAGTGTGGCAGGGAGTCCAAACTCGTGTCTAAATTTTACGAGCTGGAGTTAAACATCCAAGGGCACAAGCAGTTGACAGACTGTATAACGGAATTTCTTAAGGTACGAGCTCGTTGGTTTTTGAGTCCTGCTATTCTTAGCAAGGTGTTTTCATTCCTTCCTTCAATTAACATCTTAGAGGTTGTTATCGGAGCAAAGCGACTGAGTTGTCTCGGTGAGACGCATCCAAAAGGAAATGTTTTTTTCTGCGGACCCAGAAAATGAGGATTGAGTCATGCGAGCAAGGAGTGGCTCCGGGCCACAGCGTAGCACATGCGCATGTTATGGCCTTAAAAAGCACTTGAAAGTCACATGTTTAGTTAAAATACTTTCCCAGCGAAGTTGGGAAAAAGTCCCCAAAGTCTGACAAAAAGTCCCTGCGTGCTTTGTCATGGATAGCACCAGGAGAATGGCTGCTTTTTGTGTTTTCTATATCGGTGCTCATCTGCATAGCAACAGGAGACATTCCCCGCTCTCAAAAATACTAGGGAGGGCCGGGAATAGCTGCGGGAACAGCTGCAAGTGCTCTTAATTCGACTTGAAAATTTGCCTAGATCTTAAGTTAAGATCCCGGCATGTTAAAGGTTTGAGGTGTGTATTCAACTGAAAATATTTAGGGCATAACTGACCTGAAATGTGACTCTGTACCTGAGCTGTCTGGGTGTTGGGCAGCGGGTTTGCTGATGCGCTCAGCAAACCGGTTGCTCTGCTTGTGGAAGGTCTGCTATGAAAAAAGACTGGTTTGTGTAAATGGTGAAGTTCAAGTTTGTCTGCTCCTCCTTCAAATGAAACAACCCGGTGACCTTGTTTAGGGCAGTTGGAGTTCTCCTCTGGCCTAATCCTGCCATTGGATCTACTTAGGCGTAGGCAATGACTCTTACACGGTGATGTTTGTGTGGCCGAGCACAAGAGGATTGTAGTTTCCAGGCTAAAATGTGGCTTTACATTAACTTGGTCCATGTGAGCTCGTAAAAGGGCGATTTAATTATTTTCTTTTTCCATCGCCCTCAGTATGAACCAACTCAGTCAAGTGGGGAGCAAACCTGACAGTCTTGTAAGCGACCTGAGGACAGGGCGTGATTCAGCCTAAAACTTTCCTTAAAGCGAGAGCAGCCTACTATGGCCGTGCCGTAAGGTGCATTTATTAGTGTGCATTTTTAACCAAGAGATTATTGTGGAAAGCAGCTGGGTAGAGACTTAAATGGTTAAAATAACTGCCGTACTTTTCAGTCTCCAGCTGTTGAGTAGCTTGGACTGGTTGACTTTTCAGTGGTAACCTGTTCTCAAGACCTTTCTTTCTGCCTCCCCTCCCCACTCAGGAAGAAAAATTAGAAGGGGACAATCGTTATTTTTGCGAAACTTGTCAGAGTAAGCAGAATGCCACGAGGAAGATCAGGCTGCTAAGTCTTCCCTGCACGCTCAACCTGCAGCTGATGCGTTTCGTGTTTGACAGGTAAGCCTCTCGCTGGAGAGCATGCTGTAAAAGCGGGAGCGCCCTGGGTTGCGTGGAAGCTCTTTGGAAAGTCGTCTGCTCCGCTCTTTCTGCACTGATTTGAGAGACTGAGGATTGAGTGCGTGCGTGAGCTTCTCTGGGGATGCTCGGTGGGTTTCAAGGGCGCTTATTTTGAGATGGGAACTGTTATTGCTGTCCCCTGAACCGAAGCTTTGCCTCCGCACAGACAAACTGGCCATAAGAAAAAGCTCAACACCTACATCGGCTTCTCTGAGCTGCTTGACATGGAGCCTTTTATGGAACAAAAAAGTGAGTTTTGTGCGCTGTGTTTCGTTAACTTTACCCACCGCCCCTTGGCAGACAAGAGGAGATCTCCTCTGAATCCCCTTTTTGAGGGAAAATTATGTCAAGAGTTGTTTGAAGCCCGCGTTTCAGATAACCGCCTCGCAAAGTGGGTTGTGGAAGCCACAACCTACTTAGCAAGGTCTTGGAGAGATGCGAGTTCAAGTGCAGTCTTTGTCCACTGCCCTGCAAAAACATTAAGTGCTAGGAAAGAAAAGATTTGTGCTGTTTCATCCAGAGTACTACATAACTGTCGCTTTCCTTCCAGACGGCATCTACGTGTATGAACTTAGTGCTGTCCTCATACACCGCGGCGTGAGCGCGTACTCCGGGCACTACATCGCCCACGTGAAGGATCCGCAGACGGGCGAGTGGTACAAGTTTAATGATGAAGACATAGAAAAGATGGAGGGGAAGAAACTGCAGTTGGGGATTGAGGAAGATCTAGGTAAAACCTTTAAGTTGTGAGTGCCCTTTTAAAATAACTCTTTTCACCAAAAACACGGAGGCTGAATACGTGGAGGCCCTATTACTCTTAAAACAAAAGGGCTTCTACGCGTGCTGTCACATCTTGGGAATAATGTGTGAAACGGCAGTTCTGTTAATTGCAGCCAGATTTTCTTCATTTCAGCTCCGTGTGAGTGTTTACGCGCACCTCGTGATCAGTTCATCTACTCTAGTATTTCTCTTGCCTGCTGCGTGGCAGATAAGATGCTGATAACACAGGCAGCAGTTGCCTATCGGGATGAAACAGGCAAGTTGCCGCTTCCTTGGCTGGTGTGCAAAAGGAGGCTTAGAAACAGATAACGAGATTACTTTCAGTTTCCTTAACACGTTATGTTTTTATTTCCACTGAGGTGTTTTACTTGGAGGCAGTAAAGAATCTCCGTAAAAAATCTTGATTCAAATAATGGCTTGGAAGCCAAAACTGCCTTTTTACTTTTCACTTCTTACTTCTCCTTTGCGCTCTTCTGTTCTACCGTTGTCGGCTCATCTTGTGCTGGTGTCCTGGTGCTGCCCCAGGTAACCGTGTTCCCGGGACAGGACAGGGTCTTGATTTCTTAGAGAGCTTGGGCTAAGGCTGGATCTGCGGGTTTCTCGGACTGCAGTCGATATATAGGAGTCGTTCAGCATTAAATTGGCATTTTGAGTGCTCGGATTTGCAGTCGCTCAGCGTTCCTTAGCGCAGGATGCTTTGCAGTATCGGGAAACAGGGAAGTTAATGCCAGAAATTTCACTTATAACACAAGCAATCCGTTCCCAGAAACACTGGCCCACCAGGACGCTCGTGCCTTGCTGCAATTAGACTTTATGAAATGTTGCCTTTCTTTAAAGCGTCCTTAAATAACAGCTTAATGAAAAGAGACCCTCCGATGTATTTGCTCCCTTAGATTGTTGTAAAGCCACGTCAGCCTGAGCACGCCCTCGAGCAGGCATGGGGCATTAGCCTCCCTCTCCCATTTCCTTCCGTGCACGCATCTGCACGATGCCACTTTATTTTCAGCTCTCTTGCTAGTAAACACCTTCTTGCATTTCATCACGGTATATAACCGCTGCCACCGGCGCAGCTTTGTCATCCTGTTAATGTTTGACTACGGCTTGCTTGCAACCAAATTGTGAAGCTGGCTAGACATCTAGTGGTGTAAGATAGAAAAATAAACCCCAAAAGGAAATAAGAGCTTCTCAGCCTTTCTTTTTAACCTCCCAAGTTACCCAGCGTAGCAAAATAAGATGCGAATAAACCGCGGCGGCCTCGATCTTGTAAAGGTTTATGCTTAACCACAAGTAAGTATTCTTGCTGAAATACAAGGCTGCTTGAAGAATATAAATAAAGCGTGTTTAGAAGCCTCTGTAGGCTGGGAATCTTAATATTTTTATCGAGTGCTGATGTTATTTGCCTACTCCAAGCGAAACTGAGACTTTTCTTTGTTACAAATGCATGCGACAGCGGGAGAAGGTTGGTAACGTAAAGCAGAGGTCCGCTGTAGGAAGAGTCCTGTGGCCTGGCCACGCAGATGGGAACAATTTAGAAAATATTTGGAGAAAATGCAAATAAAGAGCATCTAGGAAGTCCCCTGGATGGTGTGGTGGGAGAGGCATGTGAATTTTTCCAGAATTTGGGAAAGACGGACCCTTTTCTTAATATTTCAGTGTTCCATTTAGAGTTTGACCTATGGAGGGTTGTTCCTTTATATTTTTTTAAATAAAAGAAACTGGTTGATTTTTGAAGCTGCAGCTGTAGATAAGTGTTTTTCCCTTGCCTGGCAGTCTGTCTGGGAACGGCAACTCTTGCAACACGAGTTTACATCGCACCACCAGCTGCTCTGAAATGACCGTTTCCGTGGCCGTTCGCTCCCTAAAAGCTCTGTTGCCCAACAGAAGGGCGCGTGTTTTTTCACATACGCAATCACCTGTAAATAAGATTTTCTTCCCTGAGGATTTGACTGTTCTTTGGTGTCAGGACACCAGAACAAGAGGCAGAGGGGAGAAAGGATGTTTTTGTAAGAGCTACTTTTGGCTCGGTGAGGTTTAATTGGGGAGAGAAGAAAGGCTCTTGTAGAGGGTGGTTCAGAGCAGGCTCCTAATTTTAGTCCCTTTGAATTACCCTGCCTCAAGAAATGCCGGAGGGATTTGGGTCTTGCTTTGGGATACAATTTTGGCTCATGCCAAGCCCAGTGCTTGGCAAAAAGAGGCCTGGCAGAGCGCAGTGGGGAGAGGGAAGCCGGCTAGGTGGCAAACTTGTCCCGATAATGGAGAATCAGTAAGCGAGCTTGTGTGTTTATTATGTTTTGCCTTCTGTACCACAGCGGAACCTTCTAAATCCCAGACTCGTAAACCTAAGTGTGGGAAAGGGACTCACTGCTCGCGCAATGCTTACATGCTGGTATACAGGCTGCAAACCCGGGAGAAATCTCTGACAGTGGAAGTACCAGGTAAGTGAGCTTTGACTCTCCTGGCCTCTCCATCTCGGCTTGTGATGCTCCAGGCGGGCCAGGTTCTGCTCAAAGCCCCTTCTGTGTCCGCTGTCCGTGAGCCCCCAAAGGTGCCGTACTGCAACTCGATGTCACGACCAGTGAAACCCCTGGGCTTTCCTAGCACTTAAATAATATCAGCCTGATGATGCCACCCCTGGGCCCACTCAAACCTCGCTATCTTAACCAGCGAGATGAGATGGGAAGCATTTAGGAGGAGATCATTCCGCTGGGAGCCGTGTGCGGCGGCGGGAGCCTTGGGATTCGCAGCCGGCATCCCGCAGGAACCACTCGGGTTCCTAAAGGCGAAGGAGAACAGCGTGGTTAAATGTCGTTGGCAGTGCACGTACTGTGCTGGAGGTGAATAATGCTGACAGATGTCAGGTTTCTTCTGCGAGTGCTTAATCTTTGCCATATTGAGAAAAAATGGCATGAAAATAAGAGGATGCAAGCTCTTAACGGGAGTTTTGTATGAGCGCGTTCGTGTCTTGCTTTAGAATTACTGGGGGTGGCAGAAATCCCTGTAGGTTTGGCCTGTGGATTTAATGATGCTTCGCGTTTGCGTGCTACTCGATTAGAAATATTAATTAGGCCCCTGGTGCTGATGGGGACGGAGGTGTGTTCTACCTTCTTCCCTCTTTTGCGAAGCGGGGACAGCAGAGGTGGCATGTCCCCTTTGGACCTCTGCTGTTTGTTCAGGTTATCTGGATGCGGAGGGGGTAAATCGTACAGCTTTTTCCCCCCCTAATAACAGCACCAAACCTTTTCCAGCCCCACCACCACTAAAACCCGCCCTCCGAGCCACACAGCTTTGAGTATTAGTGCTAATTCCTGCCTCAGATTTTCAGTCTGTTTCCTGAGCTCTCTTGCGCTCCCTTTCCTCCTACCCCTCTGCTCAAAACAATAACTCGGCAAAAACCTCTCCACCCAGCTCCAAATTCCTGCGCAGCCCCGCGGTTGCCTTTGTTTCACGTGGAAGCCTGCCAGGGAACAGGGAGCGAAGGGCAGCAGTCGAGCCCTGCGGTTGCGGGGAGGTTTCATGCAACTGTAAATTTGAGGCATTTTGCTTTGATGCTGTTAAAAGCGGCTTTTCCGGGATGGTGGAGAGACGTAACTTGGCTCTGACCTCAAGGGGGTCAAGCTGGTTGTTTTTTAATACTGTGTATTCTCTCAAGGTGGATATTGTGCTCTCTGGCTGCACAAGCGTTAACCTTTCTGGAAATATTTTAGCTCTTCAAAATACTGCTAAATAGGAAAAGGCTTTAGATAAGCAGTGCTTTCCTCCTCCCTTACACCAGCCCTGCGAGGGAAGTGTTTTATCTTCTTTTTTTCCCCTGCTGAGGTTTGGTTTGTTTGGGTTTTTTCCATCGGCGACAGCAAAAATTCCCATTTCCCTCACCTTTCCGTCGACACCAGGATCTGCCCTGGCTTATCTCCCATCTCCTGAGCGCTTTTTGCCCTTGGGATTGCAACGTGCTCGACCCCTCTCGCTGAGATCACACGTACCCGTGGGGCTGCACGTCGGGACAGGCTTCAGGTGTATCGGTAGGGTGAGAAGCTCTTGCTTCTGCCCTGGGAACGACGGGTCCTTGGCAGCACAGAGGAGCTGCTCTCGGTGGGAGGCAGAGAAACGGCTGGAGCGAGAGGAATAGCAGGGAGGGATTGAAGCAGGCAGCAAAGCGTCCTGCCGTGCTCCGGCTCTGCAGCCTCTCGCCAAACCCTGTTGCACTTCGCGCGACTGCCAGCGCTCGGCGTAGGCTTGTTAGCGAGCAAAGGATTTCTCTTAACGCAGTAACCAACCCCAAGTAAATTATTTTCTTGGGCGCCATTGTATTGCGCAGCATAGTTGTATTTAATCATCTACAACCATAAATATTGGAGAGAGCAACGTCCATGCGCTTGGCTTTCGGAAACACCTCGTATGTCGGTAGCTGCGTGGGGGAATTTTTAGGCTTGCTTGTTATCCCCAGATAACCGATCGCAGGGATAATTAACATAATTGGCATTTTTCCTTGAAATGACTGCTTTTTCTTCTTTCCCAACAGCTTTTCTGCAGGAGCTGGTAGAGCGCGATAACTGCAAGTTTGAGGAGTGGTGCAACGAAATGGCCGAGATGCGCAAAGAGAGTGTGGCCAGAGGCAAAACCAAACACGAAGAGGTGAAGAAGCTCTACAAAAGGTTACCCGCTGAAGCTGGTCTGTAAGATATTGTGGTAGTATTTTGTAGTAGACCGTTGTTAAGATTAGTAATGTTTTGTAACTAACCCACAACTCGCTTTTGTGGCCTGAACGCTTCGCTGGAAGGCATTAGCTGCAGCCCGCTTGGAAGAGGAGAGCAATCGCTGTCTGTTGTTGCTGTGTGCATGCTTAGGATTTGCTTTCCCTCTCTTGTTTTTCTCCCTTAACCTATTTTTCTCCTTTTTTTTTTGCTCATTCTAATGGCCTCTGGCGTCTCTAATTCCCTCTTGCTCCTTCCCCATCAGTCTGTGTGCTTCCATGCATCGTGACTGTTTTCTTCTGCCCGGTGAGCAGCTCGTCTCGTTAGCGGTTAGTAGCACCAAGGCAGAATAACTGGCTGGACTCAAATCGCCAACTCACGTCAAGTTTGGGAGCTGTTGATCCAAATTAATCGGCAGGTGACAGGGTACGAGGATGCCTGGCCTCCAGCAGAAAATTACTTGATTCATCCCCACCAGTGCTTCGAAGCCCCATATCTAAGCTTCGTAGTCTGTCTGATGAGTGACTGGGGTTAATCCTTTCCTACTTACGCCTTGCGTCTTGTCGCCTTAGCATGTCTGAGCACAAGGATTTTTATTCCCCTGGCCTTGTTTTTCTCTCCCGTCTCCCTCAAAACAAGCGTAGGGGCGCTTGGCTCTGTCCATCCAGTGTGGGGAATTTCTCTCCACTATGCACAACTCCTGAAAACTCCAGGACATTTGTAATTAAAGACTTGAAAATTGTGTAGCCTGTTAGACAATTTGATTTTTAGTTTTTAATATTCATTGCTCACTGCTCAGAACCAGCAGTGAGACTCGAGTAGCTGAACAGCAGACTCCTCGGCTCCCATAAATGTCTGCCTCTTCAATTTATGAACCCGGGTTTGCAGACAACAGGCGCTTAACTCACGAACATGAGTGTGTCGCAGCTCATCTTGCTGAATCCCCGCAAGCCTGAGCGGTGTTAAAATGTCACTGTTAAATCAAAGTTGTGGTGGAGGTATGAATCTGCCGTGAGTCACCTTTAAAAAGGAGCAGCAAGCGCAACTCCGCTGTGTTTTCTCTCCCCCTTAGCAGAAACAGAATAGTTTGCTCTTGGCATTTCTAACACGACAGAGGAATAAATCTCAAAAAGATGGTTTTGACAAGTGCAGGTAAAGCTCCTCTGCCCCAGTTTGAGGATGGCGGGACCTGAAGCACTGCCCTGAGGGCACGCACTACCTGCTGCTGGGCACGTCCTGGGCACAGCAGCTCGCTAGCACAGCTGGAGGCAGCGTTATCCCAGAGCTGCTCTGGGTCCGATCCCGCAGGAGCTCGGGACTCTCTCTGCAGCTGTGCAGACACGTTTTCTGCCAGCTTTGTGTAGCCTGCCCCAGAAAAACGTACTTTCAGGGGGAGGCAGCTTTCATCCCAAACTAGCAAACCATTTCTGACAGCGTTGCAATTCTCTGGAGGTCATGGCTGCGTATCTCTGATGGCGTTGCGTAAGATGAAAATACTGCTCATTTATCCTGCAGAGGAGAGAGGGTTTGAAGCCCGGTTTCACAAAGATCCAGTGCAAGCTGGAAGACAAGTGTTTTCCTGTAGCTTCTCTGTTGCTCCTTGGTATGAAACATTAAGGATTTGTGTTCATTTGATAAATGTAACTAACGGTTACGTTTCCCCTCGGTTTCAGAGCTGCCCTCCTCGCATCAGCAGAACGGGTTTAATTTCCTCTTAATTTCCCAATCACCTCGCAGAAGGGTTTCTACATCAATACTGGGTCTCAGTATCGAGATACAGGGGTTTTGCCCAAAGCTATTTCACTGCTCATACAGACGCTGACCCGCTCCTGAACCTTAGCTTTGTGCGAGGTGTTTCTCCTTTAGCAAACAAGGGCAAGGCTGCTGCTCTGTTTCAAAAAAAATCATGCTCAAAAAATTGGGCAAGTAACCATTTGCACTGTAAATCTTAAAATGTGTGAGTGTTTCTCGCCCAGAGTTGTAAGAGCAGCCCAGAATAACACTGAAATTTTGGGCGCTGAAGGGACGGGGCGAACGCTGACCTTGTCTCTTTGCTATTGTTGCCTTTTGTTTTTCAATTTACCCTGATGAGCTCGCCCTGTTATAGAAAGAGCCTTTAATGTATGATCATAATTTAAATATTGTATTTGTCCCTCGATGGACAGTAGGAAAACCTTCCCGTTACCTTGACTACTCTCCAATAAGCCCCTAACGGTTTAGCACTCTGAAAGCACTCCCTTTCCTACTTGGAGAGCTCCGCTGTTTCATATTGATTGCTTGAATTCGAAATGACCATTTGGTCGTGCATATCTTAATTTCACGTAGCTCCTGTCTTCTAAGTCTGCGATACGGAGAGGAGAATTGGACGAGGCAAGCTGTATCAGATGTTTGAAAACATGTAACGCAGAGATTTAATCAACAGCGATAGCCTGTTAATTTTTAAAAGTACCGTTGAATATCAGAGTAATTATAAAATACCATCTGCTGTATTGTGTATTAGCTGACACGTACGGGCTTGTTTCTCTTCGTGTTTTTTCCCCTCCCAGGTTCCCCATACGACTTCATCTCTCTCGAATGGCTGCAGAAATGGCTGGATGAGTCTACTCCTCCAAAACCTATAGATAACACAGCCTACCTGTGCTCACACGGCAAACTCCATCCGGATAAAATATCCATTATGAAGAGGATATCGGAGTATGTGGCTGACGACTTCTACAGCAGATACGGAGGAGGGCCCCGGCTGAACGGTAAGGTGTCGGGCTAGAAAACGCCCTCTCCAAGTCGCATTCTCATGTGCTGAACGTGTTTTAGAGCCTTGTTCTGGTCCCAGCCCCATTTTGAGCCATCCTTTATCATCGTAACTTTATTTCTGTGCATAGCTTTTGTGCTGTGCTGTTATTTCTGGGTGATTTTTTTTAATATCGCTTAATTACATTAGCATTCAAACAAATACAGTTAGCCTGATTGCAGGGTCTGTTTCAGACCTGAGTTCTGCTTTGTCTAGGAAGAGCTGCGCATGGAGGAATTTCTGAGGAAGCAGTGGTGCATTTAGGTTAGAAAATGTAATACTTGGATGGTTTTATGAAGCTGATTCTAGAAAATAACAAAACTTGCACATGCAACCCCCCAGACTCTTGAAAACGATTTTTCCGTGCCTGCAGCACCTACAGATCCTGCGTAGGCAGCGTTTCGTGGAGCGTGCGGATCTGTGCTGCCTCTTGCCAGCAGCCCGCGCTCCGGAGCAGCACAGATGTGTGCGGGCCAAGAAAATCATTTACTGTCTTTCACCTCTAGCCTGTCCCGAGCCGCCTCATCCGAGGGAAGCACATACCTGTTAGCTTATGTGCTTGTGTTGCACACATCTGTCATGCATTTTGATTTTTGGGGTCAGCTCAGTCCCTACAGTCTTTGGACGTCCCTTAATCAAGCCCCAGGCTTAGTTTCTTTTATAAAGGAGCTCAATAACTCCCACTGAGACCAAATTAGCTCAGCTCCTGCTAGGAGCTTATAGGGAAGAAACGCAACCAGCAGAAACTGCTTTGACGCAGGCAGCCTTTGTAGTAAAAACAAAACAAAACCCACCAACCAAAAAAAAAAAAACCAAACCAGGCCAAGGTTTATTAGTCAACTGGAAGATCGCCTGTAGGTTTTTTCGTTGAGTACGGCTGGGAGGAATCGATCTGATGCGCTGTGTTCTCCGACTCGCTTCCCTGGGTGCGACCCTCTTGCTCCCAAATGAAAATATCTGCCCAGTTTTAGGGTTTCTGCTCCTGTTGGTCCAGTGTAGCTTTGCAGGAGGGTTTTTTTTTTCCTGGGTTTAGCTTGCAAAGTACCATGATACAGGTTTTTTTCTTGCATATGCCTAAACTATCGTGCCTTTTGACTCCCGTGGCTGTGTGTTGGCGTTACCTGGCTTGCAGCTGTAATTGCAAACTGTTGATACCAGCAGCGGAGAGCTGTGAAGCTAGTGGAACAGATCGCACCTTATCTGAAGCGTTTTACGCTTATTTAAGCTTCAAATGTGGCCTGATCTGGCAGTAACCCCAGGCATCTCCTCATTTACACGTGAAATCTCCGGTCATGAAGCAGGATAGTTGGTACATACCTGTCTGAGTGCGTGCAAACCAGCGAGCAGCTCAGCTACGTGCGCAATAAATTGTGTTTCTTCTTCCCCCCACCCCAGTCAAAGCACTTTGCAAGGACTGTGTGGTAGAAAGGTGTCGAATCCTGCGACTGAAAAACCAGTTAAACGAAGACTACAAAACCGTTACGAACTTGCTGAAGATAACAGTCAAGGGGTGCGTAAGTCCCGATGCATTCAAACGTTGTCAGAGATTTTTTAGAAGTGCTTAAATAGCTTTTTCCAAAAGATTTTACTGTTTGGGCTCCAAAGGAGAACGGAGTTGTCATTTGCGTTGCAAACGCTGTTCTCTCTCTGCAGGAACGACGGGTTTTGGGTTGGAAAGGCGTCCTTGCGGAGCTGGCGTCAGTTGGCTCTGGAGCAATTACATGAGCAAGACGAAGACGCAGAGCACAGTAATGGAAAAATGAATGGAAATGCACAAAACAAAGGTAGTTCTACTGCTGTAGAGACCCACCAGCTCTGACTGATACCTCCTAACAAAAGACACGTCAGGTGTTCCTGTAGCTGTTTTGCTTCCCTTGTATGAGTAGGGAGGGAAGGATAACAAATCAAATAAAAAGCTCCTTTATTTAAGGAGCTTTTTATTTGATAAGCTTCAAAACTCCTGCGTGATCTTCGTACCCAGAGAAGAAGATGAGGCAGTAAGTAGTTTTACAAAGCTGTGTCAAATTACCGCCCCAGACACATGATCTTTTGATCCGCTTCTATCTGAATGAGAGAGCACAGGAGAGGAAGAAACATGGAAATTACCTTGGGGAAGGGATGAAGATGTTTATTGCGAAGGTCTGTAGATGAAACAGCACAGCTAGTAAAGCAGCTCTGGCAAAACACAGCCTAGGAAAAAAAAAATCATGAATTAGACTCTCTTCTATGCCTGTATCATGAGTCTGTGAGAATAGATGGGTTTTTTTATTTGCCTTCTGCTCTTTAAACCTTTGGAAACTGGATATTTTGTTGAGCTTTTTGTTTCAGAACTGAGGGCAAGAAGCTTGTTTGAATGAAAGTGGAGGTGATCAGCTAATGGCATGGATCTTGGGCTTGTTGAAGGCTCCAAGAACACCAGATACCGCAGCCCTCCTGATAATATCTGTAAGCTGGTGCTGCTGGTGGAGCATTCATTGAGAAAAGGCTACTCCTCCGCTGAGTTACCACTCGTTCCTCGGTGGTGTCCTTGGTTTCACAACAGGTTGCAACTCCCAGTAGTACGCTTGAATTGCTCACAAGCCAACTTGCTCGTTGGGCAGATCGTTAGAGACTCTTACTAACACATTATTGTGTTTATGATGCTCCAATTCAGTGGCCAGTGCTTCTGTCTATGGAGCTATGGTTCTTAACTATAATTTATACATTAATGTGGGGCTTGTCAAACCCCTGGCAGGCTCCCCCTTAGTTTGTCAGGCAGCATCTGTTTTAGATCAGTATCCTCAAGGCAAAGAGCGGACTAATATTTTGCCAGGAAGGTTTCTGCTCCCTGCGCTAGACTTGTGTTTAGGTTAAACTCCGAGATCTTTGGGAGCATTGAACCCCTGTGGTGTTTTAGCTGTAACAAATGCATCCTTTGTAATCTCACAAAGGACTGGCTTGTGCTCCACGCACTTCAAAGCACTCCTATGTGGCCTGTAGGCTGTAATCCCGCCTGCCCAGAGGCCAAGACATTTGAGAATAACAAATTTCCTTCCAAAGTTTCCCTTGGGTTAAGGGTTTTGCCGCAGTTTGAAAGGCAACCATGCTCCTTTCCCCCAAACATTTTTCCTTTCCTTGGGAGAGGAACGCTGTGCAATCTTCTTGTTTTGGTTTGGTTTTGGTTTTTTTTTTTAAATTAGATGAATCAAATGAAGAGAAGAGAGAGGAGGAAGAGGAGTTAAATTTTAATGAAGACATTGTTTGCCCACATGGTAAGTCTCTACGGGGGATGGAGCTGAATATATCTGTTGTTGCCTACTGCTCAAGACATTAACCTTGTAGCCTTTGCTCCATCTAAGGCCAACATGAGTAGTTACTGAGGAAATGCGCTTAATTCTCATTTGCCTGGTGTTTCTTGACACTCAAACTTCAAGCTTTTATTTGTGAGCGCTATCACGGCGCAGTCCAAGTTTTGTAAGGCAGTGAAAGGGGTGTAAACGCAGAGATGCTTGGATGCTGCGGGAAGTGCTGGGCTGCGGAAGCAAGCATCTCTTCCTCTCGCTAACGAAGCGACGTGATGGAGTGAGGGCAGCGCTAAGGATCTGCAGCCACTTGGAAGCTCTGAAAGTATTAGGAGCAAAACAGATGGTGTAAATCAGTCAAGGTGTGGGAGCTGAGAGTATCCGTTTATTCTCTCGGTTTACATTAAACCGGAGCACTTACCTAACAACTGTAGAAACATAGGCTTATCTGCGAGCGGCTGGGACTGCTAAGGATATCGATTTACCAACCTGCTGTGCTTTGGTGTCCATTTACATAAGGTTTTGACCCGCTGTTAGTTGTTTTGCTAAGTGATGGTTCATTAGCTACATCCTTGGCTACCCTGTTGTTTAAATCTCACTTTTTTAGCTTGTCGCTTCCAGACATAACTCTGTTCCAGTAAGCTCCTGTTTGGAGGCATCAATTTCCCTGCCGGGGATACTCGATCTTGTTCCTAGTAAGAAAGAAACATGCCATAAATTAGCAACACACCTCCTGTCATCAAGGCTAATCAAGGATGTAGAGTAATGGCTTGATAAAGCCTCATTTTAAAGCAGAGTGTTTAAGCACTTTGTCACAGCGTTAGCTGTTTTTCAGAGCCTTTAACGCCGTATTTCCCATTGCTGCGAGGCTGCTGCTGTTAAATAAAAGCATGCACCGTGGTGATGAAACACTTAATGTAGCCAGACATGATAAAAATAGGCCAATAGGCTTTTGAAAATATTATGCTGGTAAATCGCTAGTTGATCTGTGACTTTGGGTCATATCAGAATAAATAATATTAAATATGGGGGCCGCTGGCAGGTCAGATTTCATCGTCTTGAGCTAACCTCCGATTACTCATGCAGAACAACCTTTCCACCTTTAAAATTTTCCTCTGAAGTGTATCAGCAAATCTGTAGTCTCGGTCATGCAGCCTTAATTTTGCCGTGGAGGAAGTTCCTGCCTTCATGGTAGGCTCTGGAAAAGCCAGCGCTTTATCCGTGAGGTCTGGCTGGCCTCCAGAAATGCCATCCGGGCGTTCCCTTAAGAAGTCCCTTTGCATCTTTGCTGCAATTTCTCGCTCTCCAGTAGCTGCCCGACCCCAGCGAATAATTTTTTCCAGATACTAAGTTAGGATTTCTTTGATGTCCATGCCCAAAACATGTCCCTGGACAGTGGGAGGGGGAAATAGGGTCAGCAGCGGTTAGGATCATCTTCTTCCAGATGGCAAAGCACTTGTTCCCCGCACACCCAGATCTGATTTTTCCACCTCTTTCGCTCAAGAGCATATTAATCTGTTTTCATTAATCACGCGGTGTCAAGGCACTTATTTGTACAAGCTCGGGTTTTTTTTCCCCATACTTGCTGGCTCTGGAAAGCAGCCTGGTCCTGCCTCCTCATATGGTAAAGCTGAGCCACTCGGTCGTGTTTGATGAAGAACAAGTGGCCAAGTGCTGCATCGAATCAGTCCAGCCCGACCTTTGTTTATTAGAGGAAAAGCAGGAGGGGAGCGTTGCTATTTTTTCCCTTCGGGGCTGGCAGAAATCCAGGCTTGGCTGGAGCGAGGAAAGCCAATGGGTCCGTGGGCCTGAGGAGCTGCTTGTAATGTTAAAGAGCTACCAGAGGGTGGGGAGGAGGGAGCCTTTTATTCCCTGTCTTCTTTCTGTAGCTCTTCAGGCTATAGAAAAGCAGATAATAAGGTATCGTGCCCTTTGCTGGACACCGCTCAGCGCCGCGACTTCACAGTTGCTATTTTGCTTCCCTCTTACTGGTGAAATCCAAGTTGAAGCATGAATATTCCCATGCCGCAGCGAAATCTGGTTTGCATCTCGGTGTTGCAACGACTGTTCCTCTTATTTCTCACTGCGACTGCGTGTAGCACAGCCGTGCCTTGACTTCCCAGCTGCTGTCTCGTAGGGAGATGCGGTTCTGTTTTCCTCTTGGCGATCATCAAGCCTGCAAGCGGGTGGCTGGTTGGATCCCCGAGCCCTCGCCTTCTCCCGTTTTTCCAAGGCTTGTTTGTCCGCTGGAGCGCGTGTCGTCATGCATACACATGGTGTCCAAATGCGTGAGCGTGACCTTTCTGCTACTTCTGTCGCTAAAATGACAAGCGCAAATGCCTCATGCTAAACCATTCTTGGTTTAAGATCTGAACAGATCTTTTTTGATCTGTTTGAGCATCAGGGTAAATAATACAGCAGGCAAGTTGTCTGGGGGATAGCTGGTAAATCTTGCTTTGTATCTTCACACCCCAGTTATTCCCTAGAGCAGATCTAGGGTGCAAAATCTGTCCTTTCCAGATTTTGAGGTGCTTGGATAGGGCACGTGAAGCCATCTGAGGTGATACAGCGGTGATTTTGTTTTTCAAGGGTGTGGAAAGCCCCTGGCTCCTGTTTCATGGGTTAGTCTGCAGCTTGGTAAATGGAGTCGCCATAAAAATGTAGCTATGGATAGCCAAGATCAGAAAACAGTAGCCCTGTGCCCTCTTTGGCTTGCCCTTGCTTTTTCAAGCAGCTCTTTACTGCCGCTTGTATTTGATCAGCTGCTTGGGTTCATGAGCTTTGAAATCTAAAGGACATTTTTATGAATTAAAGTCACATTATTTTTTTTTCCTGTCTAAACAAGGAAATGATAAAGAAGTTGAAGGTGACTTTGTGTATTGGTTGCGCTCTGTTTTGCTGACATGGTGTTGGCTGATAAGTGCGTGAATATCTTCCCCCACATTTATACCCTGCAATCTCTTAAATCTAGTTAGGGCTGCAAAACATCACTGAGCGCGTCAAGAGCAAAGCCCTTCTCTCGGCTCTCTCTCTGCAGGTGACCTGTGCATATCCGAAAACGAACGGAGGGTGGTTTCGAAGGAAGCCTGGGAGAAACTCAAGCAATATTTTCCAAAGGCCCCTGAATTCCCAAATAACAAAGAGTGCTGTTCCCAGTGCAAGGTATTGGCCAAATAATGTTACCCTTTTGTTGACTGTAAATACATGGTCATATTTCTGGTTTTCTTTTTAACACGACCCAGTGCAGTGGAGGAAAGTAATGTCACCTTTTAGTAGCAGCTAGGAACTGAAGCTGTGCTGTAATTAACTGTTTCGTGCAGATTTTGGAGCGCGAAGGGGAGGAAAACGAAGCTCTGCATAAGATGATGGCCAGCGAGCAGAAGACTTCTCTCCAGAACCTGTTTCACGATAAATGCAGACCTTGCTTGGGCAGCTGGCCTCAGGTATAGGAAGGAGGAGGGCACAGGGAACGAAGCAGGGCTTGGGGGAGGTTTTTATTAGCTTTTATCCCTCTCCTAAAAAATTATATTTCACCTGCGAGAGAGACTGCCTAACAATCATTCATGCGGTCCAAGTGAGACCGTGCCTGCACTGGGAAGCCTGTGCCGGCGGAGCTTACGCGTGTGTTGTGCTGAGGTGTGATTTCCCCCGATTAGCTGTGCTGGCGCAAAGCCCTGCTAAAGATAAACGAGATGGCTCGTGTGCCAACATAGCTGTCGCTGGCCCGGAGTCAGCTAGATAAGCAGCGACGATATTGCTGCTGTGCTTACATCCGTCCCTAGAAGGACCGAAATGGTGGAGGCAGCTTTCCACCACCCTCCGTCTGCCTTCCCATGCAGGCCAGGCTTTTGGTGCTGGTCGGACAAAATTCGCGTGTGCTCCGGCATCCTCCTACATCCTGAGAGCTCATGTATTTAGCTTCCCTAAATGTTAAAGCCTCACAAATAGGAGCAATGGTCGTGCAAGACCTCTCGTACCGGCTTCTCCCCAGTACGAGCACGCAGCTCTCCAGGACTTTCTTGGGGCTTCGAGGCGGCTGAAAAGAAATGGCACAAGCTGTTGGCTCCACGCCTTGGCTCCTGGATGTCTCGCGGTGCTGATTAATGATTGACTCTTAGATCCTGCCAAGCTGCTTTGGCAGGTGTCTGCCTCGGTTGCTCCTACGTGTGAGGGCAGCCTGCTGCTCTCGGGTGCCTTCTCCAGCCGTGAGTAAATATTGAGGTCAACACGGATCTGTGTCTCAGAACCGGGGAGCCCCAAAAGGGTTGAAATGGGAAACGCTCTGTGCTGAGCTGGAGAGCTGCCAGGTCCTACCGGCGGTATTTAAGGGGTAGTATCTGGTTGGGTCTGCTTTTGTAGCTGGAGTCACCATGGGCAGCTTGAAGTATGAGGGTCTCTCCAGGCAGTGAGGCTACGTCCTCCACTCTCTTTGAATTTCCCAAGTGAGCATGATAAAAGAAGATGAGGATCTCTCCCTCCAGCTTTGTGAGTTTTCCTGATCCAAAACAGTTGAGGTTCGGGGAAGAAAACAAGCGGAGCGGTTTAATCTAGAAGAGATGAAAGGAGATTAAAAAAAAATATATGTTCTTCAGGTGTGCTGAATTTTCCTGCAGAAAGACGGAGTGAGTCCTTAAATCTGCTTTAGGGAAAGTGGTGAGGATAGGTGAGCTCGGAAATGGTTTTGTCACCCAGCTCTTAGAGTCTAGGTGGCTTCTTGTCCAGGAGCAGACTACCTAACGGCAAATCAGTTGGGACAGGAAAACAACCGTTTATCCTAAAACCGCTGCCTCATGAGGGTGTATGAGCAAATGGCTGTGGTTTTGAATCCGTGCTGCTGCCAAGAGGAGAAACTTCTGGATTTTGATGGGTGAAGCAAATGAGGCGGGTTGGGGTGGTCTCACCCCACACCCGTGGGGGTGCAGAGATGCATCTGCTTTAGACCCCGAGTACCTGGCGAAGAAAACACGGTGCTGGGGAGTCTTAGCTGCTCTGGGGGAAATGACCGTTTCCTGCTGTGAATTAAAGGTAATTGGATCTAAAGCTAAATTAACTTTGTAATGAACATGAGATTAGTAATGTAAGTGCTTAGTACTTGATCCCAAATTATTTTGCTTGGCTTTCCCAGCACGCTTGGATGGAGTTGTCATGGTAAAAACGCTGAGGTCTCGAAGAGAATGAGCGCTGCAGAAAAAGCTGAACAGTCATCGCTTCTCCATTGTTGGATTAATTAAAAAAGATCCTTTTTTTTTTTTTTTTTTTTTTTTGACAGATGAGCTGTACATTGTTTCGCAGTTCTTTGTAGAAGAATGGAGGAAATTTGTCAGGTAACTTGGCTTGAGGTTTTTGGTGCTTTTTATTCCTTTTTTTGGGGGGCTGATTTTGCTTTGAATCCCGGTGCAGTGTGTAGTTACCTGCAGTTTGTCTTTGTGGAAACAAGGAAGCTGATTTTTGCAGGGCTCGTATCAGTTGTAATACGTTGTAAGAACTGAATTTCCTTGTTTACCGTGTCTTAACCAGATGGTCAGATTAGATTGTAACCTGATTAGTTTTTTCATCTGTCTGGAGCTGTATCCTAGGCAAAGGTCACTGCTCAATCCTGGTTCCACGGGCTGCTGGTGGTAGGAGATGGAAATCTCTGCTAGATAGGAGAGTAATTTTGCAACATGCAGGAACGCAGATCTGATTTCCTCGTCCGTAGTAGCTTAATATTCCCTGCTGGAATGCCTTCTGTAAATATTCACCTGTGATTTCTTCTTGGCTGCCTGCAGAGTTGTGATTTTTGTGAAATAACCTGACCAAGCTTTGCAAACCGCTTTCCTTTGCCTGCGCAGGAGGCCAACGCGATGCAGCCCCGTGTCCTCAGTAGGAAACAGTGTTCTTCTCTGCCCCCATGGGGGCCTCATGTTCACCTACGCTTCCATGACCAAAGAAGACTCCAAACTGTGAGTTTCTTCTCTTCGCGCGTCTGCCTTTGCCAGGTGCCTTCGGCTCTCGCCAGCCTCGGGGAATGTTCCCAGAGGTTTGCTGAACTGCAGCCACACAAGGAGCAAATGTTTTCCCTTGAACAAAATTAACAGTCACTTCTTCAGTTAATTTTTCACAAAATTAACAGTCACCTTAGCCTTCATGCAAGGCAAGACCTAAATTGTCAAAGGATGCTGGGTCAGGAAAAAGAGAGAGCTTACTTCAGCTTGGCTAGTTCCTAACAATAAACTACCCTGAATTTGACCAGGGCGTCGAAACATCCGGCTTCCTTACGATTTGCTTTCTGTGAGACTTGCCCTCAGAGCACTGGACGCTGGGCTGGAGTTCATGCTCCGTAGCGTTGCTTCTGCAGTGGTGCAGAACTAAAAGTAGCAGATCTTCCCCTCCTCTCCTCCTCCGTCCTCCCTCCGGCATGACTGGAGCAGAACAGCATCACTAATAACACGCTACTGTTTCCCTGTTATCTTGGGCGTACAGCCCCTCCCGTGTAGCTGGAGTTATGGATCGATTTTGCAGCTTTTCTTTCATTAACAGACTAAAAAGAAAAGGGGAGGCTTTTCAGAAGCTCGGGGCTTGGCTTTTCCATGTCATAAAGCACGTTCTTGTTCCTTTGCACAGTATAGCTCTAATATGGCCCAGCGAGTGGGAGAGGATTCAAAAACTCTTTGTCGTGGATCACGTCATCAAAATCACGCGAACACAAGCTGCCGGGGCGGACCCGGAGAGCACGCTTTACGTCTCTGAGCCCCGTGAGTGAATCTTTTGCCGCTGTCTGTGCTCTATTCTTTTGCTAATTGGTGCCAACTCCCTGGGAAATGGCTCTTTTTTGGTTAAAGGGTCAGATCTAGGGGGATAAACACAGAGCTTGGCAGATGCCCCTGGTTATGTGAGCTGCTCCGGGTTAGTGGTGAGAGGCGCTGGGCAGGTGTCTCCAAGGAGCTGAAGCAATTAAATGCATTTTTCCTTTGTGCCTCCCCAGAACTCTGTCCAGAGTGCAGAGAAGGGCTGTTATGCCAACAGCAGCGGGACTTGCGTGAGTACACCCAAGCAACCATCTACATCCATAAAGTGGTGGATAATAAAAAGGTATGGCTTTCTTCCCTCAGTCCTTGCTCATCCTGGCTCCGTTTCATTTAACGGAAACTGCACCGAGTACCCAAATAACGATCCAAACACGGTGGCGAGACGGCTATCGCAGCCTGCCGTGTCCCTGCAGGGCTGGGACCTGCTGGTAGGGATGCTGAATGACCTGTGATGGTGGTGCTGGGCAGGGCTGCTCTCCGTGGGCAAAAAGCACCCAGCTCTGCGGCTCGTGGAAGCTATCGCTTTGGCAAAAATAGCAAATGGGAAAATTCTGGCTGTAGCTGCTCTGAAAATTTGGTCTCCTCGAGGCTTCCTTTTGCCAAACCGAATCCTTTGCATTATCAGGTATTTCACGGGTGTTCCCAGCTTTGATGGTTTTAGGCAGTGTTGTAACCGTTTCTCTCTTCATAATCGTGTTATCAGGCTCTACCTGTTCTCCTCCCCCTCCAATATTTGTCATTTCCTTTCTTGGTTGCTCAAGTGACATTTATTCCTCGAGAGAAATAAGCTCTTCAGCCTCCATGCTGATGAAATAGCAGTGAACTTAAGAGATGGTTTTCAAGATCCTCTACGAAGCTGTGAATTACGTCTCTGCTTCACTGGTGTCTTAAGGGATCAGTATCAGGTCTAGAATTGGCTTTACAGGTTCCCGAAAGCTGGTTAAAGTCGGTCCTCCTCCTTAGGGCTTGTTTTATGCTTTAGGGGGGAAACCAAGGCTCGTGGGCAAGCTCAGATAAAGATGTTCCCTGCACCTGTGCAGCGTGGGGGGTTTTTTTGTCTCTCATTGATTTCCACCTCCCTGCCAATCTAAGGGAGGAGCTGGAGCCCGGAGAACTGCAGGATGCCGGAGGCTGGACGGGTTTCTGCCTTGGTTGTGAGATGTAGAGCATGCAGCACGGTCTTGAGCCGTCAGCTATGGGTTTTCAGCCTGACTCGAGGCTGAATTCTGAGGCTGTATCTTGGCTCTGGTGCAGAGGAGGGTTGTTTTTTTTTTTTCTGGTGCTGGACAGGACCGTGCTCACACGTGGGGCTGGCAAAAAACAGGCAGCTATTATTTGCCGAGCAGCTGGAGTTGGAGAGAGGGGGCGAGAGCTTGCCTGCGAGATCCCTCATTAACAGGGCAGCCTCGGCGAGATGCGAAGCAGCAATAATGCCTGCCAGCAGCGCGGCAGCAGTGCCAGCGAGGATTGCGGACGGCGGCGCTCAAAGCCACTGCTTCCTTCCCTGCCGGTTTTGATTTGCAAAGTCGGGGAACGTTTCCCATCCCCTCGCCCCTGCTCTTCGCTCCTCTGCAACCCCCGGGTACCTCCTTCGGCTGACGCTGCAAGAGGGAAGCCACGGCCGTATAAAATCAGCGTAGGGCGGCACTGCTGGAATCCGGCGGGCTCTGGGGAGGCTGCGGTTGGTGCTGGATGTTTGGGACCTGGGATTGCATCGTTAATTGCAAATACATTGACGGAGAAGAGAGCTCTCGGGCATCCAGGATGGAGAGCGCACCAGTCTCCTGGGCTCCTGCAAACCCCAGCTCCAGCCGAAGCATAGATGTGAATTCACGTCCGGCAGATCCATGCCTCCTGGAGTGACTTATACAGAACTGAACATCCTTTTTATTTATATGTTTGTGTAAATTATTTAGATTTCATTTACTTACAACCTCCAGACCCATAAATAATGGTGCTGAGTGCCTCTGTCGGTCTGCCGCAGGGATGGATAAGTGTCTAATTTACAGATAATATTCCTTTCTCTGTGTTAGGGCTTTCGTAATACACTTAGATGAACCAGAGAAGCAGCCACTTAATGGGAAAGAAATCAGTCCAGGCCCCTGGAGACTTTCCCTTTGCCTAGAGAGGAGGGTAGGTCCTGAGCCGCAGGAAGCACCTGCAATTCAATAGAGAAGCTTGTTCTCATGAGCCGAATCCCCCCATGGTTCGATGCAGCTGGGGACGGGTGGAGAAGACTTTGCAGAGCATGTGGAGCAGATCCCTGGGTTATTCCTGCTCTGCCTCGGTTCGTTGGATCGAGGTGGCATCCTGGAAGTCTCTGCAAGCTATTTGCCATGATGTGACAGTCTGGGTTGATGCTGTCGGGTTAGTTACGGAGAATGATTTTTATGACTTCAGGTAATGAAGGACGCTGCTCCAGAGCTGAACGTGAGCAGCTCAGAAGCTGAAGAGGAAAGGGAGGAAAACAAGCCAGAGGGGGAGCAAGACCCAGATTTTAACCAGGTAGAGATCAAAAACACCATCAGGTTCCTTGGTTTTTGCATCATCCTCTTGAGTCAGCATGATGGGATAGCCCTCCTCCTCTGTTTACCGCTAGCAGGCGAAAACAACAGTGTCTTAAATTGTCATTTTAATGGTCGTACCGCACCATCGCTTTGTTTTTGGAGAGATCACATATTGATGGTGACTCGTACTCTTGGCTGGTAATCCGCCCCGCGTTAGCTTTAGAAGCAGGAACCGAGGTTTCAAGGCAAGTCTTTTGGTCCTCTTGATACTTGCATGCGGCGGTTCGCTTTCCAAGGGGCTTTTCAACGCTTCGTGCCTTCCCTCGCATGACCGACTCGCCCAAAACACAATCCGGGGTACGGGGAGGTTGTATTTTCCACCAATCCCAAACTTGCGCTCCTGATTTTTGCCTCTTGTTTCTAGACCAACGGTGGTGCGAAGCGCCAGAAGATCGCGCACCAGAGCTACATCACTTACCAAAAGCAAGGCATCAGGCGAAGCACCCGGCACCGGAAAGTCAGAGGGGAGAAAGCGCTGCTTGTTTCTGCTAATCAGACGCTGAAAGAGCTGAAAATACAGGTAAGGTGTTTTTCCTCCAAGGAACGAGTCGTCTCGAGTAAGAAAACACAAAATTAGGAGCGCGCGGCTGGGAGGGGTTGGGGGGGAAAGGAGTATAAAATCCCACGTGGCATCAAAAGGTGCGTGTTGCTCTTCTAAACGTGATATTTTTGTGTAGCTCAGCGGTATGTTTTTCCCTCCGCACAAAATCAGCGTGTCTCATTGTGTTGGCACAGATCATGCATGCATTTTCAGTTGCTCCCTTCGACCAGAATTTGTCGATCGACGGGAAGATACTGAGCGATGACACCGCAACGCTCGGCAGCCTGGGAGTCATCCCCGAGTCCGTCATTTTATTAAAGGTAATGTGAGAGTGTGGCTGCTAAAATAAAGTCGATAAAGCAGAGAATTGAACTGATTTTTGTACAACCAAAGAGTTAACACGTTGTGGTGCATGTGAAAAGTGCCGTGCGCTAGACATGCCCACCCGTGGCTGCTCGGTAGCCTAATTTAATGAGTTCCTCCTGGAGCTCTTTCTTGGAGGAGGAAAACCCTCTTTTTTTTTTTTTTTTTTAAAGAGCATTTATTAGCTGGCCTTTGCTGCTGAGCTGTGTGCCTACCAGCCCAAAATATGGCTAAAATAGGGAGCGAGTCCTCCCCTCTTGTTCCCAGATGGTATTTGGGCAAGAGACCTGTTCCTTCCTTCCACCCCTCCAGAGCAGGGACCGTGAACTGATCAGGCTGTGAACTTCCAAACGAGGTTGCTCGCTCATTAATCCCCTGCTCCGCTTTATTTTCCAGGCTGATGAACCAATTGCAGATTACGCGGCGATGGACGACGTTATGCAAGGTGAGGGGGGGGACCCCGGGAAGGTTTGGGGTTCAGGAAAGGCACCTCGCTGCTGTGATTTTGGGAGAAGTATTGGTGGCCAAAGGACTCTGTTGAATTTGGGTTGTGAAGGTAGAAAATAGAAACATTGACGCTTTCCTGTCACTGTCCACGGGAGATTCAGCGGTACGCCGCCGCTCGGACAAAAGATCCTTCTAGAAACGAATGTCAGGAGACTCCTAACGCCATGCCTTTTTCTTTCCATCCCCAGTTTGTATGCCTGAAGAAGGATTTAAAGGTGAGTCTGGGTTTTTTTTCCTCCCCCCTTTATTTATGCCCACGCTAACTTCGTCTCCATCCCGTAAGCATCATCATCTTTTGGTGGTTGTCTTTTCTCCTCAGGGACTGGTTTACTTGGACACTGATGGTTTTCTAAGCGTTGACAACAGAGGAGCGACCAGAAGGGAAGAGGATTTTGACATGGTAGGGCATTAAAAGAAAAAAAGGTGGATACAGGACTGAACTCTTTGACTCTTCCAGAAGGCAGAAACCCATTCTGAAATGACTGTCCCCCCCCCCAAAAAAAATGCCTTATGTCAAAGCAGATTGCACTGAAGGACATCCTGCCTTCAAGAGAACGTTCCTGATTTTATATTTAATAAAGCTACAGGAAGGTTGGAAAGTTTAGCAGCAGTAAGAGCGTATCGTGTTTACAGGCGAGGGAGACGGAGGCGTTCTCATGTATTCCCCGACTCAAATCCTGCACCGCGCTCGTCTGTCCGAAAAGGGGTTGTAATCCAGTAGATCAAAAACATCTTGATCTGTTCTCGAGTAACTCTTTAGGCGTAACCTGCTTACAGATAATCCTGTCTTTGATCCACTATTACTCTTTCAGTACAGCATGGAAGTAAAGAAATTGTTACTTGTGAGGAATGTCTAGCTCTTTCAAAAAAAAAAAAAAAAAAAAAAACAAACCACAAAAACCTTCATCTATTTAACCCAAAATGTAAGCTGTGGTCTGCCTCCGAAAGCCTTCCATCGCCGAGGGGACGGGGAGCCGCCTCCCTCGCCGCCCCTGCCGGCTTTTCAGCCGCTCGCCTTCACTTCCAAACGTTTGATGATCTTTCAATAACCACCTGGTCTTTCTCTGTGAACTGTGTTTTTTAGAAACGTGGGGTATTTTAATGACTTTTGAGAACATCTTTTCCTCCAGTCCGGGACTGCCAGGAGCGCTCGTGCCCATGGCTTGGGGAGACGGCGAAGGGGGCGCGGGTGGGTGGCGCGTTTTCCATGGGAAGAGGTTTTTTTTTCCTTCTCTATTCTCCTCATTTTTCAGGAATGCACTAATAATTATTCGGTTTTTTACATCTCTAGCTCCCAGAAAGGATCTCTCCCCGTTGCCTATTAGTAGCAGGAAATAGCGTACCACTTCCAGACTTAAAAAGACAAAAAAAAAAAGGGCACTGTCGAGGTATCTCTGTAACGAAGTTAGACGTTCCCTCTTCCTTTTCAGCCTTTTAACTTGTTTCCGCAGCAAAATGTGATGCGGAGAGTCGGGTTGCTGCTGCATCAGCTTTATTTTTTTAAAGGATTGCAGGAGTTTGGGGCTGGGGGCGGGGGGCACATATCCCATCCCGACAACCCCGCTAGCATTTACTTTAAATGTTATCTTTTATCCGAAGAATTACAGCTGCCTTTGGCCAAGCGCGGGGGCTCCGCGTCCTCTTCCCCGTCCCCTGCGGGTTGTGGGGCGAAGCAGCCGGCGTTTGGGGCCGTGGAGCTCTTAAAAGGTGGTTTTTGGGGCAATTTGGACCCGCGTATTCTTTCCCAAGGTAAAGATGTCGGCAGGAATTCGGCGCGCCGAAGCCCCTCCATCCTTTGGGAACGGGCAGGAGGTTTTCTTCTTCCCAGACTGAAGCACTCGCTTGTGTACATATTTCCTGGAATTTCCATTTTTTTTTTTTTCAATTTGCTGTTAATGTTTGGTTTTTTTTTTTTTTTTTTAATGTTACGAAAAATCTCTTCCTTGAGCTTATAACGTTGCAAAGTTAAAGTCTCTAAACTCAGCTGGAAGGAATCAGCCGGGGCCGTGGAAGCGTTTCCCAGAAGTGACGTATGGCCGCACCGCGGCATCGCCGTATCTCGCGGAGGACGCAGGTACAAGATGTGATCAAAGGCCCCGTTACCGTTTATGTCTGTTATTTGCAAACATTATCGGATTAAAATTGTCATTTGAGCTGTGGAAGCCTTATTAAAGCGCATATACGTGGTCTGTCTTGTATTTTAACACCTCGCCTAAAGGATGGGGGTTTATTATGCTGCAAATCCCGCTCCGGGCCATCCCGAAAAAGGGATGCCTGTGCTGCGGGGTTGGGATGGGAGCAAGCGGGATCCCACCGGAGCGGAGAATTGCACCAACCTTGGCACAGGGAAGGTTTTTATTGGAGCCTCGATGGGTGCCGGCGCCTTGGCCATGCCGTGCTGTGCTTGGCAGC